AGCTTCAAGTAACCTTTTGCATATCAAGTCTATCCCAAATACAAGCAATACTGAGATCATCGTCATTTGCCTGGATTTATAGATAAATATGATTTACATGAAGAGAGAGGAGAGAATGATTGAATTTTAACGAACTAATAGATAAGTTCTACAGAAAAGAAAAAAACCTTGTGGTAGACATTCAGTACTGTCGCTGTTTAGTACAACAGTTTGATCTTTCTCAGACAACTGATCCCATAAGCTTTCATATGCATAAGTTATTTACAAGGATATCTTGAGATGGTTAGCCGTCATATCATAACTGCATCTTTGATTCTGGTTAACAGTAACAAAAAACTTGGTTGTCAGTTCATCTAAGCAGAAATGTCTTGGGATACTGATATATATTCAACTGATGAGTACACACTGACACAAAAAACACTTCTAGGATTCAACTATAAGTCATTACTAAACGCAATCCTCCTATTCTTTTCTTAGTTCATTTCATGATAGGACTAACATCACCAAAGTGTACATAAAGTTATGGTGTAAAAAGAAAAGATGTCGAAATTTGTGTCTAGCAGCTGTGGGCTACTAAGTCAACGAAAGGGAACATGAATGTTTGTCTTATGTAGTGTACAAACCATAAAGATGATGATATATTGATCAAAAGTGAAATTATGACTATCTTTCTATACATTTAACTTTATTTGCTGTCATCAATACTTATAATTTTCAAAATGTAAAGACTTTGTCAAAAATTGACCAGTTTCACAGCGTACTGATCAAATTGAGCGTAATTAAACTGCAAAGAGTTGATTGATACCTCGTATTATGTATACCATTTGTCAGCTAAACTGAAATGATTTCCTTCACTGATTTCCAATTCATTATAATTAGAACTGATATCGAATTATGGTTGTAGGAAGGTAACATGTTTGAAAACCGTGGTTATTCTAAACTTCATGTACATATATTACTACTTATTGGTATAATTGTAATTCGAATTATTCGACCTCTATTGGCATATAGGCTGCTATGTGGATGCCTCGATATTGCGTGAATGTTAATTATACTAATTTGGCTGATTGTGGTTATCATAGGAATCTAGGGTGCGCGTTTCGTCTTATTTGGGACTCGTTAGTCTAATGTCTCACTGAGGACAACATCACTCCGCACTGGGGTGCAGGTAAATCCAGCTGACAAGTTCCAAATAAGAAGAAACATGCTTCCTGGATTCTTCTACCAGCCAGAACCAACCAAATTCATGTAAGTAGCCTAACTACATTTCAGTCGGATAGAGAGACAAACAGACCAAATCAATGTAGAGCCTTACATACAAGTGCGTCGGGTCAGCCTGATACACATCAAACTAGTATACAAAATAAGAACATTTCTTTGAAAGAATAAGCAGTTTGGGGGAAACGGTTGGTGCGAATGTGTTCAAGCTTTAGAAGATGTCAAGGAGTGAATACGTCTGCACCAGTGTCACTAGTTTTATTCATGTCACCAACAGTCCTCAGTCAGTGATTCCTTTAGCCTCGAGGACCCTAGCCAGACAGTCCATATCTCAACAAAAAATTCAGACCAATAGTCAAAGATTCCATGCACTGATACCACGTTTTGATCTGACCACTCTGAACCCTTTTCCGACCCAATCCAACTTCCCCTAGCATAGCATTGAAGAACATGTCCAAGTCATCTCAGTCGACAATACTTCACAACCTCATTAGCCGACTTGCTTGTCTTGCTTGGTACCCGTTACCTGATCTCAGCAGTGCTCACATGATGATCCCACTAAATGCGAGCAATCCTACGAAGACATCTGTGATCTACATACCGCAAACGTTCAATATATCCCCTACTTTTAATCCTCATGTCTCACAGCCGTACAGCACAGTATGCTCATCCCTCTATACATAGTCGGATGCCTCTCAACTAGACACTACAGATGGCGCAAGTTGGCAAATACTAAACAGGCTTTCTCTATCCGAGCTCAGATTTCGTCAGCAGCCAGTGCGTGTTTGCTGATGAAACTCTCAGAGAAAGTGAAGAGATTGATACATTCCACCACTTAGCTCCTTGTCATTAGACTGAAAGTGATTGCAGACCAGCCTTGAAGCCTGAAGCAATATTTTGAAGTTGACAGGTGCCATAAGCATTTCGACTAAAAATACTCAGATTTCTACACAACTCGTACAGAAGACTGCATTTTTTCATCGGTTTTACCTAGGAGAACAATACTGTTTGCACACTCTAAGCCAAGTTTTACTAATTACAGAGTAGTCATTTAGTGATATGCAAGCTTTGAATTATTGTGTTTATCTTCCAAGCTGAGCTCAATATAATCAACTAAATATGAGAAACAATTCAGTATCCTCGGAACTCATATGGACTACGTTACCATTCATCCAAGTCATAAATTACATGTTTAGTATAGCTGTAATACTAAGGCACAACCATCCAGTATTAACAATCATCATCATCATTATCAACATAGGACCAGGTATTACTGCGTAACGGTCCGAGTTGCTACACCTCATATCAGCACATCAAGTACAAAGGTAGTGAGGTGAAGGATGAAGATAAGTGAATGCAGTCAAAAGAAATATAAAGTATGAGAAGAAAGGAAAGAGGAGCGACGAAATGGTGAGATTCGGTATAGTGTAGTTAAGATGAGGATAATGTGTGTATATATCTGCGCCACTGACATCGGTTCTCAGCCATATCACCTAGGGTCAGTCTCCAACCACTGGTTCCTCTTGTCCCGTGGACCCCAACTACCTAGTAGCCTGCATCGTCCTACATGGCTTAAACCAACAGTCAGAGACTTCATACATTGGTGCCATGTTTTAGTCTGGCCACCTAGAGCCCTTTTCCAGCCTGGACCCACTTCAGCCAACATTGTGTGACGAGGCAATCGGTGACTAGGCATACGTAGTACGTGTCCCTACCATCTTAGTCGATGAAGGTTCACAGTTTCGTCGACTGACTTACCTCTTCTCCCCAAAACTCTACACCTAATTTCTGCATTACTCATGTGGTGACACCACGGAATACGGCACATACTACGAAGGCAATGGTGGTCAAACACCTGAAGCCTTTTTATATCTTCCACTTTCAATGGCCATGTTTCACGGCCATACAGTAGAACAGAGCGGACTGTTGTGCAGTACACGCGACCCTTAATAGACAAACGGATATCACGGCGGCACCATAGATGGCGCAAATTGGCAAAAGCCAATCGAACCTTTTGTATCCGTGCAGAAATCTCATTGGCAACTAACCCACCGGGGTTGATCCTACTTCCCAGGTAAGTGAAGTGGTCAACACACTCAACCACTTCACTCTCTATTGTTAGCCTCAGTACCGCTGAAGACCAGTCCTGGAGCAAAAATTTGCATTTGGGTGGTGAAAATCGTATCCCAAACATTCTCGAATTGTCACTCAATGGATACCGCGAGTGTTTGCTGATACAGGTCATCATACAAAATTCAGAAGTTTTGAATCATGATGGAATAACTGTTCAATGCCGCATGATTTACAATGCTTCTTAACCGATAGCATCTCTCTTGAAAATGTTTTTTAATTACAAGGAGCTTAAGTATGCAACATTCTTTAAAGATCACGTGGTTAACGAAATACTTTGTCGAATTAAACAATTTTTTTATCAGTTAATTTAATTATTCTCAAGTGACTGACTCCTTTTGTGGTGGACACTACTTATAAAAATGTAAACTAGTAGTACATAGCACAATACTGGTAAACATAAGAATCGATGTCAATCGACTAGTGAAAATTTAAGGATGGGAGAAGAAAAAGAAATACAGAGTGCAAGAACTTTGCATACTGGTACGCTGAAATTAGAATGTTTGCTAAATGCAACTTTATCATAAAATGCAGTATTTTTACTGTAGACAATACATGCTCTTCGACTGAACATGTTTTCATTCCAGGAGTCTACCTCTGATATCACCAGTGAGTGAGAGAAGAATAAAAGTCATACGTATTTTAGACGAGTGGACACACTGATGTCACCTCCTCTAGTTTGATTACATAATGCAATTTTTCAAACATTCTATGCTCTAACCATCTTTCTAAAGTCAGATTCTAGGTAGCATGATCAGTTTGCAAATGATTTACCAATTGTCTGATCCATATTGACTTTACTCACAGCTGAGTAGTTTTTCAAGTGACCAACTGTAGTGTCAACCAGGTTTCCTCCAGCCAAGATCAAAACATGTGATCTATGACATAAGTATGTCACGAACTGGTGGAAGATACTACTCTTGAACAAATTGAGTAGTTGGAAAGCTTCCACACTGATCAGAAAATTTTGCTAGCCTACAGCTAACCAGATCAAAGCGACCTTAACACCGGCTAGCCGATTCACTCGTTTCGGGTAGAACCAGCTCATAAGTAGTGTAGCTGGACAAATTCGACTCATGAAGTCGATTCAGTTCAGATCACCTGAATGATGATAATGATGATGAGGATCGATTTGCAAATGACTTACAGACTGCAAGATCCAAGCCGAAATTTACAGCGAAATCTGCTAATCTGCCTTAGTAGTTTCTAACTACTGAAATTGTTCACTAGTAGTATCTTTCTTCAAGTCTAAGGTATTTATGGTATTGTGAAGGTTTTTTTATCGAAATCGCTGAGTTATGTATGCTCCATTGGCTAATACTTTGTATCCGGCTCCATTTAGAATCCATTCCCATGAATTTTCTATTATCACACTGATTAAACGGTAGTAAATTAAAGGGGGGGCGGAGGGGGAATTAAGATTTCAAGCCCGTTCAAAGGTTAAAACTTCGAATCTAACAAACATATTCATCAATCCCTCCGTTTTAAGGCTTTTAGATTACTACAGAAAGATGTTTTTCTAACTCTTCATGTGAAAAGTATATCCAAATGCAGTTAAAAGGCCTTCCCCCCCCCCTCAAAAAAAACTTTCTTTTACTGTCAAAATATCACAACTAATGCAGTTTAAAAATTATTATTTTGTAATCACTTACTTGTTGTCGTTGATGCCATATTGAAATTCATCGAATCAGCATTTCCATTAACTGTAGGATCAAGCCAATATGTACATGAATATTCAACAAGACGATTTGCACAATAAGTCAGTAAATCTTTTTCAAAGTAACCAGTTTTTAAAAATTGAAATAAACTCATATTTAACGCTAATGGTTTATTTATCCGTGGACTGTCTTGAGCCATATTCCCACCACCAGCTTTAATGCGTGCACCTCCTCGAACCATTATATGAGATAGGGATTAATAAAGGTTAATAATAACAGTCGTAATAGCAATAATAATAGATTAGCAAATGTGAATAGCTTGTTTTTTTATGCGGATAGATTCATTGTGGTCTGCAGCATAACTTTATTCCACGATAAGTAGGAAATGAAGAAAATAATCATTGAAGTGTAAACTGAATTCTCATTGGTTAATACCGTTCACGGTCGATGGATAGACAGACACGTGTGATTAAAGTATGTTTAAACAGACCAATCAAAAAGTTTGTTAACTGTTTACCAAATATCCTTCTCAAGTTTTAGTTTAACGTTATGAAAATATTTGGTTATTGAGTATGTAACATTATTTATATTTTCAAGGTTTACGCTTTCCAAGGAAATGAAAAAAAAGCAGCATGCTCTGCCAACAGTGGTCGAGTAATTCAATCCAGTATAGAAATGGGAGAAAACAAGTACCTATAGATGAAAAACAGGATCTTTATACCATGTTATTTGCTTTTTGGATGATTAACAGTAGAAACTAAGATGCAGTTTTCATACTGTTTTTGACTTGTTACTATGATGTCATCCCAGTGAGACTCGAACCAAGCATTTATCAATTCATACTTAAGTTCTATTTACTAGACTACTGAACCATCTCATATGCAACAGAAATCACTTAACTGTTGATTGATATGTGTAATTTTCTGCTAAATTACTACATTTTGTTGGCATATGAACTCTTTGAACCGAGGCCTGGATACTACCTGAATTTTCATTTCAATATTATTTCAAGTCTGATGTATAGTAAATAGGATTAGGCATACGTCCTAAATCCCACTGCTGGCTGACAACAAGCAAATAACATCGGTATGTAACTTCAGGCATTATTGAGGTGTCCTTTCAAGAGACTTACTAGCCAACAGAGGTCGATCAATTTGGTTCAGCTAACTCATCAATATATCACGAATAACGATATTCATATATTTGAATAATTTCGAAGTGATATACATCGGCTTAAAGGATATTGAAACGAGGGAGTGCATGAAACATGTTCTTTCGTGATTTGAGACTAATTAGAAGTGAACACACAGAATCTCACGAGAGTTCAAGCCGATGAGCGTCAGGTATCGTGGTGGCCAAGTTATCATTCAACAATCCACTTATGATCCGATTCTGTTGGTTCATGATACAAAACGACCATCATCTGTTGATCCCAAAAGCAACCGTTTCCGTCTAGAGGTTTGGAAAACTTATCCTGAAGTAAATCATCTATCAGCGGTGGAGAGTTATCTGACGGCCGGACATTCACCCAATATATATATATATATATATATATATATATATATATATATATATATATATGTCCCTTATGTTCCTAGTGGGGAGCAGGGCTTCAGCAGCATGTCACCATTTCACTCTCTTCTCTCCAGTCTTTTCAACCTGGCTACACGACTGCCCAGAAGCTTTCATTTCTTCCTCACACCATCTCCTCCATGTCACCCTCAGCTGGGACGCCCAACTTGTCGTTTCCCATTTGAGTTCCACTCGATGGCCTGACCTGGCTTTGCGCGTGATGTCTTCAATCGACCTTCTCAGTGTAAGTCAAATCAAATCCATCTCCACTTTCTTCTACTCCAAACTTTTTGGCCGATGGGTTCTCGGTTGGTTGGTTCGTTGACAGCCAACCAGAGTTCCTCCTTGCTTACTTTTATTACTCTGGTCATGTGATCTCCACTTTCAGTATCGAGTGAGTGAGCGTAAGCAGCGGTTGTTCATGTAATGTATGTTTTCAGTTTGTTGGAAATGCTTTTCGTAACACGCCAGGTCTCTCAACCATCACATAGAAGTACTGACTTACTTTGCTGAATTAGTGTTGAAAATCCGGATCTTATTCACGCTTTATGCTGAATGCAGTGTAGTGCAGTGCAGTGGAGTAGATCTCCACACTGATCTGAGATTAATGAAGGCCTGTCTTGCTGTCTCTCCAATCCTGGCTTTGACTTCCACCTCTGTGCCAGTGCCGCCTGTAGTTGGACGATGTTGCCCTGCCTAGGTAGGTGTAGGTGAGAGAGATAACTTGTTTTAGATTTCTCCCGTTCATGGTGATTGGTGTCTGTTGTTGTTGTTGTTGTTGGTTGGGTATCTTCGTCACCTCTGTCCTCTTTACGTTCACCTGAAGCAAGTTCCATCTTCGCTGCCTCTTCTATTAACTTGATGGTTTTTGGCTGTAGATCTTCGAGTTTGTGCGACATTAGGCATAAATCATCATCGTCGAAATCCAAATCTTCTTCTGGGGTCTTTTGATCGGTCCAGCCAACATCTGCCCGTCTTTTCGTACGTCACAGTTTATTTATCGAGTAAAATGGTTTTAATTAACTTTACGGGTTATCATCAACTGGAATGTAGCCTAAAATTTGAAGCAATTTACGAGAAATAGTAATCAGACAGCCAAATGAAGATATATAAAAGTGGATGAATGCTCTAGATCCAGAAAAGAGCACACTGAATGTTTCTGCTGAAACATTTGAAATAAAAGATGGATTGAACGAAGAAATATTTTTTTCAATCAGGTGTTCATAAGCCGCTTTACACTAATATCTAGGTCTTACATTCAGTTACATAATACTGTTCACTGGTTGTGGTAGATTATTCAGGAAGCTGACAACTAGGAAAATGAAGATACAAATTGATAAATACACAGATTATATAAAACAAAACAAGTTGTTAGTTCATAAGGTAATACTCATCACATACTGACGTCAGTTGAAGAACCAGTAAAAATCTGGGAGCACTTGACAGCTGTTTGGTGATAGCAAAAAACTCCTCAGCAGTACCCATCCATGTCCTTGCCAGGGATCAAACTTAAGACCTTCAGGTTTCCCAGAAAACATGCTAACCATCCAGGCAAAGGGTAGAAGTTCAACGGTCTACAGTTTATCCATTGACTTTTTATTTGTCCTTTTCTCAACCACGCTGGATAGTGTTCAGATATTCTACAATGAACTCGCCTAACCATACACCCTATGTAACTAGCTTCACAACGGTTGTTGAACTGATAAATGGACACAGAATAGGCAGAATCAACTATATACCTGACACCTATATTTGACGGATTGTAGAAGACAGGAAATAACTTTGTAGCATTGAATGTTCACTGAACAGCTCTTCTCAAGCGTTGTATCATAATCTTGCTTATAACAACATCTTGGAATACAAGTTTAAAGAAAACAGGTTTCTTAGAGAGTGGAAAGAAGTTAACTATAGTTTTCACCACCTCAGACAAATTCATGAGAGTAGCTATGATGATGTAGATATTCTTACTTGAGATGAATAGCGTTTGAAGATGGCGAAATCATCCATTGTAGGGTGGATGACTTTAGAGTCTAACCTGTCAACCCCTGAAATAACCAATCAAATCTTGGAATTCCGTTCGAAAATGTAGATTTTTTATAAAATTGAGAAACTGAATTGGTTATTTCTGTAGTAGCTAAGTTGGCTTTTAAAGTTACTCTTGCATGGGATATATGCATTATTTTCGTTAAATAGAATTACGTAGTATTATCACTAGAAATCACGACTTATAGTAACCAGGTCTAGAATCCTTACACATAGACGCTCAGAGAGAACAAGAAATACAATCATAATTCATATATCCACACAATCCAGTTATCACGGACAGGTTGAAACTGATCGATCAACATTAATCAAACAATGAACTTTCATTACCACTACCTGTGTGTTATAATTAGGATAGATACTGCCTAACAACGGAATCTAAGATATGCGTTTCGTCGTATTTGGGATACATCAGCATGATATACCTGTATCTCAGTGAGTGATGTTGTTCCCGCTGAGACTGTAACCCAGAACCAATCACTTAAAATGCCAAAGCGTTAAACCAATAGGAGGCACGTATACCCAGGTGAAAACTCCAAAACAGAACAAAAAGCGCTCCCACTGTTAACCCCTGTCTGTGAATACTATCAAACTAAAATCGAAGGCAATATTGAGATATTCACAAAGAAGTCCATATGCCAATAGAGACTTATAACTTCGGTCCAGATAACGATGGGAAATTATTAGCAAAATATATCTCTCTGCTATTTCTCCACTACAAGTGGTTTCCAAGTTATTAACCTTCTGAATGCTGTATAAATCATTTAACCTAAAAGCAGTACAATCAAAAGATACCCTGTTCACATTCACATCAATACTACTGTTTATCTGTACTGTAAATTTGTACCATTGAAAGTAATAAGATTGCTTGCCATAGACGGTGTTTAATTTGTTCAATGGTTATTAATCGAATTAGGTAATCTAATAACAGTTAAATTCTGTGAAAATTATAATTTTATTAGTGTTAACTTGTGAATATTTGTGTGTAATAATAAAATCTAGATAGAATTGAAACCAGTATTGAACAAATAACTAGTACTCGTAATAAATATACAAAAACATTACTTTGGTATTTTGTTTGGTACTCGTCATGGATAGTTGAAGAAGTGGACAACATTCGTATCCAAGTATAAGACTCTTCAGTAGTTGGTAACCATGGCTATATGAGGGGTCCAACCCAAAACTGTCAGTCCTAGTGGTGAATACACCAACATTAAGCCACTCATCCAGAATCAGATGGTTCACATCTTCCCTACTTCTGTCAATTTACGATATACCGCACCTTTATCAATTGTCATTAGTTGGCATCCACTTCATATCAAATCTGATTCATCCCCACAATGGAATATCCATCTCAAAGTATGTTATCAATGAACAGTGAACAGAAATTTACTTTGAAGGTTTGTGGGGACTGATTGACTGATTTAAGGATGGTATTCATCATCTTCATTCAACTATTAGTTGGGTCATGAATATGCATTGCTTCGGAGTCTCATAATAGAAGGAAACATATAACCAGTACTCCCAGGTTTTCAGCGGTTCTCAGTCTGACCCTAACTTGGGAGAAAGGGTAGTAAAGCTACTGGTCAAGATTGAAGCATATTTTCCATAGGCATTTGTTCATCT